CCTTCAAATCTACCTCCTACTCCCCAAAATATAAGCATAACCTTGTAAGAAAGATAGATCTTTACCAATAAAGAAGTTAGCATTCAAAGAAGCTAACTGATCTGCCCAGTCCTTCAATATGATATTTTATACTTTTCTCCCATTTTCTAGAGTGGGAACAAAAAAAAATTCCTAAAAGTGGAGGAGAATGGGGGATATCAATTTTAAAATCATAATATACTAAATTTTGTGCTATATATAAGAAACTCTGGCCAGGTATAGTGGTCAGTGGTAGATACTTTATAATTCCAGCACTTTGGGAGGCTGAGGGAAGAAAATTGCTTGAACCCAGGGGACCACAGGCACCCACCACAATACCCGGCTATTTTTCGGTTGCAGCCATCATTGTTGTTTGGCGGGCCCAGGCTGGATTCGAACCCACCACCTTAGGTGTATGTGGCTGGTGCCTTAGCCACTTGAGCCACGGGCACCAAGCCCACGTTCAGGTTTCTAACAACTTTCTATACCTCTCTTCTTAACTGCCCTTATAAGAATCTCACATATAAGCTTGTCCATAACTGATCTTATATCAACCCCTATCCTAACGAGTGTCATACCACTTACTCAATCATTCATGCAAATCTTTTACTTCTACTTCCTTTAATATCTTCTATTCTTTTCTATTTCTTTCTTCTTCTATTGTCTTAGCCCAAGCCTTCATAATCTTAGCCTGTAACTATAAAGCTTCCTAAATGGTACTAGAAGAAGAAATATATCAAAGGGCCAGATAATTGTAAAGTTTCCCCATAAAAGTAATACACATCGGCTCAGCGCCTGTAGCTCAACCAGCTAAGGCGCCAGCCATGTACACCTAAGGTGGCGGGTTCGAATCCAGCCCGGACCCGTCAAACAACAGTAATGGCTGCAACCAAAAAATAGCTGGGCGTTGTGGCAGGCGCCTGTAGTCCCAGCTACTTGGGAGGCGGAGGCAGGAGACTCGCTTGAGCCCAGGAGTTTGAGGTTGCTGTGAGCTGTAATGCCACAGCACTCTACTATTTATGCCTCATGGCCAGAGCCCTGGAGAGACTTCTTTTCTCTATTAATTAATTCAATCAAGAGTATACAAACACATGTGTGTATAAGATTT